TAGGTAGGTAGGTAGGTAGGTATCATTTGGCCGGCAAGACATTGCGCCAAGGAGCCAAAACATAGTCAGAATGGGCGTGCAGATGCCAGAGGAGGCGAGGTGCGCCCGGCAACATGACACCGACACTGAGCAGCTGGCAGCCTGCAGGTGAAAGCGGCTCTATCGTGAGCCGTGCAAATTCCAGAGACGTCCCAGCATGATAAGCTTTACTGAGGAAATACTTTGTGGGCCACTACGTAGTCCATCTGCAAACCGAACCGTCGCAGCAGCCGTACACCTAGCTTCTCTCACATCAGCTGTTTTTATGTACGACTGCAAGGGGCACCAGTCAATCTCTGGTACCTTGGCTGAGCAGATGCAGATCTTCAGCTCGTCTGAAATCCTCCAGCTGGGCTTCCCCACCTGTCGAGTCTTCACGGAATGCCATTGCAGAGCAAACCATTGAAAGCACCTCCGTGCAGAACAAGCAGATCGACGCACCCAGCGCCACGACGCTGCAGGACCTGCTCACACGTAGCTGAATTTCACCTCTCTCTGGGCCAGCATATCTCTTGAGGGCTGGTTTACTCTTATCTTCCATCCAACTGCAGGTAGGCATGCGAGTATTGCCTTTGCAACTTGGGCCGGGCTGAACATGCAGCAAGCCAGCGGTTCACGTCTAGAGTTTGGCTGCCTGCTGCAAAGTGAGTGGAAGCCTACCGGGTGTTGCCACAGCAGATATGCCCCGAGAGGAGTATCGAATCTTCACTTTCAAGTCTTTCACTGTCCTTCCAATGTCCATGTGTTTGTACATGTCGCACAGTATCACGAGCGCGTCGCTGACCAGGTATTGAGGGTACTCGGCTGCTAGCTTAGGTGCAATACTGGCCTTCACTGTTATGCGACTCTGCCCAGTAAGCGGATTGAGCAAGTGCATTCATTGTATTGAGGGTGGAGCTTTCCACAGCAGCCATGACAGCCATATATTCAATGACTTAATTCCCCGCACTGCCTTGCCTTGGCTGCGGTGGGGGGGGGGTTCAGGGTTCGCAGCATCGCAGGATCTGTTTCAACTCTTGCTCACATCATGCCGTGCGTTGTGCTGTTGCGCCTTGAACACACGGTGCTCTGATGGGAATGTGGTCCGAACGCTTTGACTTTGACCTGTTAAGTTTCTTTGTCTTTCCTACTTCGGAGAACACACCAGCAGAAAGAGGAAATCGCAGGATAAGAAGTTAAAGAAAACCACTACCCTGAGCGCGTCCGGCTTCGTACACTCATCTCCCTTCTGGGTTCCCTCCCTCTTCCGCCGCCCTCGCCCCGTATTGCCGAGCTAGCACTAGAATCACTTGAAGTACTCTAGTTGCCGGGGAGGCGTCATCCGCAAGCCCAAAACAGTAAGCGCGTGCCTTCTCCATGAGATATTCGGCTGGCCCCATGTGCACCTGGCCGACTCACTCCTTGTGCAAGCCTGTGCAAGCAGCACCGAAGCCTACCAAGCTGGTGTGACCTCCAGATTAGGTGCCCATGCAGCAGCGCAGCGCCGTAGGCCCGCAGCAACGATCGCCGAGTCTTCTAGACCTCGAAAGCTGAGAAGTGGCGGTGGTGCATTGCTTGGTGTCACATTCACATAGTTTCCAAAATCCGAGTGGCACCACACAGGGCACCTGACTGCCATCGCCAAGGCCAGCGCATCTTCTCCTCCTTCCACTTCGTGCTTTACAAGGTGTAGCCCGTCAAGATAAGGCCAAAGTACAGCGGAATTTGAAAAAACTGCACTTCGACGTGCCACCGAGAGTCCCGGCCTCGGATATCTAAGGCGAACTGTGGCGACACTGTGAAGCGTGCCAACTGTGCCTCAGCTTCTCTGATGCTCTCAGGCTGTTGGGAGGCCATCGTGCAAACGTGCAGTGAGCTCCAACGCAATGTAAGACCGACCTTACTTTGGTGGCAGGAAGAAGGAGACATGGATATTGTTTTGCTCAACTCTCTCGGCACAGGTCGGTCCCGACGCTGCAACGAGGGTAGCCGGGTAGCCCTCCATGGAGACAAACAACGAGCAGCGACAATGTAAAGTGAGACAGAGCAAAAGACTTATCGAGAGATGGAGAATTTGCATTGTTGAAAAATTGGTCTAGACCAGAACACGATGGATAGAGAGACGAAGTGATTGATGGACCTAAACGGCCTAAAGTTGACGCCCGAGACTTGCAACCAACATGCGCCCCGACCCGCAGCTAGCATCGATGGAGCACCAGTTCCCGCTTCAGCACCACGCAGCAGGCCGGCCTGTGACCCCGATGTTTTGGAATATCTGGATATGTCGTGCGTGGCGGCAGGCAGCTGTGGACCGGGCCAGTCGCTGCAACTGCTCCGAGACCTCCAGCTGAGGCGTCGCGGGCAGGCCGTAGCTCTCCTTATGTTCTGAGACCCACGGTTCGTCCACGAAGCCACGAAGACCACACAAGGCCTGCATCCGAACGCCGTGGCATGTTGCAGCGCATCGTCGCACTGCAGAGGCAAACGGCTCCGGGAGGTCCTGCCCAACCCGAACAGCGTATTCCGCCGACAGGGCTGGACTCTGCAGGCTGTTCTCCCAATCAGGGGCCTCCGCAAGCCGGTCCCAAAGCCGCGCTGCGAGGCTTGCATCCGACCTGTGATTGCCGTTGCACTGACCATCACGCTCTGGCTTTGGGCCACTTCGGGCCTCTCTGCCGTCGCGAGCAGGACCGACCAGGTTGTCATGTCCGTCCTCTGGCAGCACAGCTGACCTTGGACCCCGTGCACGTCTACTTGTTTGGCGTAGCAAAGGATGGTCGAGGCCGTGACAAGCATCTGTCACTCTTCCAGCTTTGCAGAAGAGGCGAACTGCCACCACCAGCTCCTGCGACCCCGAGGCCAGCACCATAGGCTGTGGAGAAACCTTCGAGCACAAGCTACCTGCCCAGGCTGCAACGCCTTCGTCGACAGCTCAGACAGCCCACCTGGACATCAGACGATGCAGAAAGCAGGCTGTCTCAGGCCAGCGAGGCTGCTGCAAGCCTGATCAAAGGCTTGTGACAAACTGGACAAGCCATGGCACGTTCCAGGACTGACGTCAGTTCTTCCTGCATGCTAAATCACGGTGTGGCATAAAGATCTAGCAAGACCGTCACTTGCATGCACGGCTGGTCCAGCACATGGGCTGGTCCTGGTGCTCCAAGGTCGCCGAAGCTATATCCGATTCCTGGCGCTGCGCCATGTCAAGAGTGCCTCAGCGGACTTGTCACGACGGCGAGGGAGTACTTTCCACGACATGCAACTCAAGAAGCACCGACATCGCCTCGATGGTCGCATAACACAACAAACGCCGAGAGCAGATTGATCAGGGAGCGGGTCTCTAACTCTGAGATCCTCCAGACACGAACAGCTCGTTTCTGGAAATGGCCATGTTCGCAGTCAACCGTCCCAGCAGCCACCTGTGCGATGCGACTTGGGCCATGTCCTCAGCCATCAATTCTAGAGCTCAGTACTGGCAATACCAATGAATGCCTGAGTCATCTGCACGAGATGATGCATGTGAAATGGGAACGTGGGGCATATGTGATAGAGTACACACACTGAAAGAACATTACTTGCTCTGCAGACAGAGACGCACCGATGAGCTCCTCATCCTCCCAGCCAATTTTCGCAAATCCCCAACAAACCGCACCTGTCATCCAAAACGCAACGTCAGCGCACGTCTGCCAAGTTCGACTCGCAATACAAATTTCAAAGCTGACAATAGCATGCGCATGGCACACAGCTCGTCGGGTCGATAACGCCACAGCCTGCCACCCTTGCACTCCTCGGGTTGGACTTGACAAGTGGACAATGTACGCTGGCATCCCGGATAAGCTTCTCTGCATGCCAATGCGGCCCAAGCACACGAGCCACAGCTTGCCAAGCCGATGCATCGGCGATGTCCAGCGTAGCATACGCCCATGCGAAGTTTGCCACATACTGGGCCTCCACGACATCTGAGTCTACTGACCCACTGCACCAAACCCTCTGAAAAAGTGATTTAGGTCACCTGCCTCAAACACGCTCGCATGCTGCGCCATGAAATCCTTGCATGAGCGTGCTGAACTGCAGATCTTGCAGGCATTGCTTCTGGGCCGATACACTGCGCCTGCGTGCCCTCCGTTAAGTCGAGCGACGGAGAGCTCTGAAAACAAGGGCTCGTGGGCCACCCGTGCCACTGCAAAGGCCCACGCCAGCTGGGCGGCCTCTGTGCAGGCTCTCGAGATTAAAATGCGTGAGTTCAAAGTGCGTCCCATGTCTGACTATCATCCACGTCTCCTCGATCCATGATGATCGTACTTTGGTAAGTAATGAGCACTGTTGTCAACCCTGCTCGGAACTCGAGGCTGAGCCTATGGGCTCGAAATCCTGGTTCATCTCTCTTCTGGCTCTTGTCAGTTGAGAAGTTTGTTTCGGGCAGTGTCTTCTTGACACCAGCAGTCTGGCGAGAAACGTGCCATCTGAGCCCGGCTTGTGTTCTGTCCCTTGGTTCCAGCTCTTGAAGGTGTTGTTTCGCAGCTTTTGTTGCCACCACGCTGGCCGATCTGCTGCTGCAGTCTTCGCATCTCCCTTGCAGATTTGCAGGCGGCCGTTTTCGTTGTTATCCTGCTCGAAACGAAACCTTATCTCGGCTTGCGGTTATGACACAAGCCGAACAGCTATGGCAGCTGTGGCGGGCTGCTCAGGTGATCTCGAATGCTACTGCCGCTTGAGCTACTTCGAACCGATACTGCACTGAGACGTGGACCATCTCAGCTGAGTAGCGCTTCACAAAACCGCAGGAAACCTCGTCAGCGCTGATAACATGAATGCTGCTTGCATAGACGCATTTGTGGAAACACGAAAAATGCCATTTTCGACACATGGCACGGTGCAGCATGCAAGCCACTCGCAAAACATGGCTTCTGTTCCGACTCGAGGGCGCTGCTCTCATCGAAGTCGTCGGGCGTGCTTTCTGAACCGGCTATACTGTAGAGTATATAGCGACGGAATGACAGTCAGAACGTCATGCTGATGTCAATTCTCAGCCTGCGTTCTGTCGCAAAGGCTTCTCCTGTAAGGCGGCGACGATGCACACCGGACGAAGGTCCACGAAGGAGCAATGGGATGAAGTGCGAATATGGTGGAGCTCATCCACGGTCACTGCTGCAACATGGTTTGCTGCTGTGGCACACTCGGGTCAGCTCTACACAGTGGCGGCCCAATGCCTCAGAAATATGTATCGAGTCCGGGTCCAGGAAGTGACCTTCAAAATGGGGGAAAGTGTACCACTTGAACCTTTTGCCCTGGCCGATGGAGTCGATAGTAGCAAAAATGCCACGTACAGTTCCAAGCTTGTTCCGACAGAGGCGAATATCTGATGCCCAGAGATCGGTAGTGCCGTGAGTCTTACCTACCGATCCCTCAAATGTGATGACACCGGATGACACTGTCCTGCGATGAGTTGGGACGAGCTGCAGCTGCGAGCGTGTCATGTTCCAGTCCCCGTCCAGGCTCGTGTGGCGAATCGCGTACATGACTACGATGCAATTGTCATCCACTGAGACCTGCTTGGCAAATATCTCAAAAGGTGGAACCTCGCTGCCAAGGCGGTATAGCTCTGCAGATATAACCTGAGACCACTGTGGCTTCTGCCGATTCGTCGCTCCACTTTGGCGCTGGAAGTCTGCTGCAGAGACCCGCCAGTGCATTGTGGGGGGAACAAGGAACGGCATAACGCTCTGCGCCAGAACACTGGACGGCAGCACGCAGTCTGAGCACCGCTTCCCCATGTCTGCAGCAAGCCAGACAAGCTGCTGCAGTTCAGGCCACCAACAATCGCGCTGCGGCCGGAATTCCACAGAGAGGAATTCTGCCATGGGTCTCGGCTCCAGTAGAAACCTTCAAAGCTTTAACATGTGCACGCCTCTGTCTGTTGTGCTCGGTGTCTGTTTTGAAAGCTGCGTCAGAGCGAGAAAGAGAACTCGTGTGGGACGTAGAGTGAGAGCACGAGGAACAGTGAGGGTGAGAGGAAGAGTGAATGTGTGTGTTTCCACAGGCGTTGTTGCCTTCGTTGTGCATTTGCAACCGACTGTGTGTGACGACCGTCCCTCTGCAGGAGAAGAAAATCCATCACGACATAACACGTGGCAAGGACGGCGAGCCTGCGAAATCTGTGCATCTGGGACATTCCACAACGCACGTGTCTGGAGCATTCTTGGGCTGGAGCAGTGTGATTGGCAAGCTTGTCGAAAAGCTCCTGGGCTCAAGAACAGGACTGAGTACAATAATGCTCCCTCGGCAGTTATTGATCTTGGCCGAGCTTCAAAATCCACAGCATCGGCACGAGCCATCGCCTTCAGTACAGCAACACATTGGAGAAACGAAGGAACTCGCGCAAGGTGACACAAATTGACCATCTCATTTTGCGTGCCAGGGCACCCAGCAGAGGCTGGTGACATCAAAGTCCGCAAAGTCGAGGACTTGGGACAGAGTTCGCCTGGACCAGATGCACAACCTTTTCTGACAAAACCGCAGTGGCAAAGGCAGCTGGTCGCCTTCTGATTGCCTCGAAGAGCTCTGAGTTCTCTATGCCGAGGCGAGCCTCGAAAGCAGGAACCGCAGTTGTGACCATGGTGCCCATTTGAGATGACCATCATCACAATGACGTGACGACAACAATGACGAGGATGATGATCATGCGGCTGCCGCTGATCATGGCAGTGATGAGAATGGAAATGAGGAGTGGTAAGATAAGAGATGATTCCCACCGCTCGGGCAAGTGCTACCACAGGTCTTCAACTGTCAACAGCAACAGCTGTGCCTTATCATTGCTTTTGCTGGGAATCCACTCTGGAAATGTCGACATGTCGACATTGACTCGTTTTCATGTGCGGCTCTTGCAGGATGAGCACGGAGCACGCTGTCCATATTTCTACTGAAAAAATACGAACACTGCTCTTAATGTGCTTATTCTTGCAGCTGTGTGTCCATTTCGACTGTGCCTATTCTCGCGAATACCTAGTTGTATAGTATTCTGAACCCGGCAGCGGCACCCTGAACCCGAAAAGGAAGCAGAATTGCAAACCTCAGAGCGAGCTAGGAGCAACAAACATCAGAATCAAAAATGACTGGGGGGTGGCAACCTTGAACAACCCTCAACCCGAAAAGAGATGTCCCGCAGTCCCAAGACTCGTAAGCAAGACCCTAGATGACGGATATGCATACAGACCTAACATAAACACGGAGGCAAAAATCAACGTTTCCTGTTTTGATGCAGGATACAAGCACATATTGTGATGTGGACATCTTGACGAAATTTCGGGTGTTCCTGCGGACTGGCGAAAACTCAGAGTTGGGGCCTTCCCTGAATCTGCCCGGCCATCATCTCCTAAAGGCCACTCTTTGGCGTGCTAAAGCTGAGGCACAAAGACCAAGGCAACATTGGCCAGGCACTGGGGAGTCAACTCCTGAGAGTTGCATGGATCGCAACATGAAGAATGGGTCTGCCACCGGCTACGCCGTTGCTACACTCATGCCTGCATCAAGCGCAGCGCCGCGCTTGAAATCTCGGCGCACATCGCAGAGCTTCCACGCTCGGCCATGCCGAACGCCCACGCGATCCTGAACATGTCTTGGCACGAGGAACGACTCCCGCTGGCAGCAGATACGAGAAGCACAAAGCACCCGCCATGCATCAGAATCGAACGGGAGCTTGAACTTGGGGGTAGAAGTGCAACTGCAACTTCTTTCGTCTCTGCTGCATGACAGGGCACATTGAAAGGTCGACATGGCGAGCCTCTTGCACCTCGAGCCACTGTCACACAGCCATGTTCTCTGTAAGCTTACACCCTTGCTCCACGACACTTTGGACATGGCCTTGCGCTGCACCACTGTCTCCATGGCAGTCCAGAAGTCCGGAACCTGCTGCACCATCTCCAGCTTCGTAAATCCCCAGCCTGGGCACCACGGCTCCGCCACGGCTCCGGCTCTCCCCCGGAGCTCCGCGCTTTCCAATTCCGCTGAGCGGCTCTTCTTCCACTCAGAGAGGTCTGACCCTCCCCCCGCGCTCGCAAGCGCACTGGTTCGTTCGAGTCGGTGTGATAGCTGCTTTTTGATGAGGTGCGGCCAGGTTCTCAACACGATCCCCCCTCAACTTACAACATTGTGTGGCGTCTTTCTTTCTGCTGGGCATAGGGGTCGGTGTCCCCGACCCTCAGGCCATTGGCCCGCCCAACCACCCAATGTGCTATTGAGCGGTTGGCATTGGGGTCTCTCTGACCGCTGTACCAGGGTTCCAAGTATGCCCTGCGCTTCAAGTTGTGAGCACCCGGACCCTGTGGCTCTCTTTCTTTCGCCAGGGCTAGGGGAGAGAAGGGCAAGCTTGCCCCCTCACCTGTGGCTCTCTCTTCTTCTGCACAGCCAAAGGAGAGCACGCGAAGCACTCCCCCTGCGCGCGAGCGCGCCCTGGTTCTGTTGTCTTGGGTAAGACTTTGCCCGTAGCTCTCTCTCTCTCTCTCTCCTGGGCATGGGGGACGGTCAAATCCCCCGGGCATCATGCCCACCCAACTTTATTAGTTGGGCGCAAGGGAGTGAGGTACGAGCATAAATCACCGAGAAGGCTAAGGCCATTAAGTGTACGTTAACATAGCAAGGTGATTGTATGCTCTCAAAGACACGTGCAGAGCTGCAATCGCGGAATCCCCCGATCTGAAGGCCAAAGCAGATCTCGCATGAAGTAGAAGATCTGGAGGATTCCATCTTTTGCAAGCTCCCCCGGTAGTCATCTCGACTTTCGGAATTATGGAGGATTTCCCCCGAGTCTTGGGGTGTTTACCGAAGGGTTGTCAACTGCACAACAAACAAAACTGAGGCCCAGGCATTGGCAGCAAGATGTTACAGAGACAGGTAAATTTCCCCCATTCACGACCCTCAAGCAACGACCTGCATGACGATTTCCCCCTGGAGCTCGCGGCATATTGCAAACAACGACACAGCAGTCCTAAGCACCTACAGGAGTACCATACGTACAAGGCACGTCTTGGGCTCCAGGGGTGTACATGCTTCTGTTTTTTTCCTAATACTTTGGGTTGCTGTGTATCCCCCGATCATCATGGTACATGCACTTGAGGACCGGAACTGTGTGTAAAACAAGAACACCACACTACCAGGTACCAACAAGACCACCATGCGGGAGAGACTCATCACAGTCCCAAGGTAAGTTTCCCCGAGTAAAGAGGACTCTGTAGCATATTTGTGAGACTTATCCCCCGGGGCCAGCTCGTTTGGTACAACAATAGCACAGCGCTACTAAACCCCTAGAGGAGTACCATGTGTCCTCATCAAATCCTTGGCTGGCTCTGGGGACCTGAGGTCGACTCACGGGACTTCTGTTTTGCGAAACAAGGACACAGCATTACTACACACCTGAAGGAGTAACATGCGTGGAAGGTTTGTGTTGTCCCGGAGGCTTCCCCTGAAGTAAAGGGCTTCGCAGCATGATCAGGAGGCACTCCCCCCGGGCCAGTGTGTTCTTGCAAAACAAAGGCACAGCACTACTGAACCCCTAGAGGAGAACCATGTGTACAAATCAGTTGTTCCCCTGGCGCTGGAGGAGTGGCATCTACATAGTAGTATTGCTTGGGTGTGGGTCTGACATAGGCTGACAAGGGCATAGGACATAGGGGTCAGAGGTAGTTGAGAGGTACTTCCCCCTACATTGGCGCTTCATTCCCCTGCACTCAGTTTGCTCAGTGGAAGTCGTGGTGCGAGCTCAGTCGTCGTGTAGGGCGGCTCGCATCCGGCGTCGTCTGTGGCTCACGAGGCTCTCGGCATCGCTCTCCACTGCAACTGTGGGGCTGCGTCTTTCTTCCCCCGCTGGTGCATTGCCCAAACCATGGTGACGGTCTTGTAGCCACCATTCCCCGGTGGCCAGGGGATTTGCCGGAAGTGTCCCCCGGTCTAGGAGAGGTTGCGGCTCGGTCCCCCCATGGGAGGGGAGCAGCTCTTCGACATCATCGAGCGCACGGAGGAGGGCCGCGTGGATCGTGTTGATCTCCCCCGGCGACCAGTCTGAAAGTCTGGTGCGCAAGTTCTGGAGCTCAAGGAGAATCCCCCTCGTAAACCTGTGCCTTTTCTCGCGGGCGAGGTTTGAGGTCAACGTCCCCCGCAGCTCTGCCATCACATCTGCCGGGTGAGCCACCATTTCCCCGCTCTGTATGGCTCCGAGGAACATTGCTGTCTCCGCCAGTTGTACCCAGTGCTCGGGGCGGTCTGCTGTCTGGATGCCATGCAGTGCAGATCCCAGATCGCGGACTGCTCGTCCGAGAGCTTCCCCGCGAGGCACGACATCCGACGAGGACGAGGAACTTCCCCGGGTTGTTAGCATGCTGTTCAACCAGGCGATTATGATGTCCACGTCATGCTGAATATCATAGTATGATATGTAGATATGCAGATCCTCGGCAGAGGCCAGCCGTCGTTGAGCTTTTGCAAGGAGCCGTTGCAGGGCCAGTGCTGCTGGGCTGGTGTTGTCGGGGTCTCGCTTGAGTCGTTTTGGGGGTTGTTCCCCCGGTGTTTCCCCCGCTGCTTGTGTGTTGTTTCTGCTCTGCTGCTCGAGTTCGAGGTGTGCAAGGAGCTCTTGTTCTGTCTGGCTGTCGACGAGGAGGTCGCTGAGTGCACACTGTGCTAGGGTTGCTATGGTTCCTCCCCCTGGGAGTTGTGTAGCTGCTTGGTAGATACGAACAAGGCTGGCTTCGATGCGGTCGGTGGTGGTGTGGTGGCGTGGTGGAGGTTGGGCTGTACCTCTCTCTCCCTCTCTCTCTCTCCCGCGCAGAGAACGCTCTTCTTCTTCTTCTTCAGACACCTCCCCCTTTCTTTTGGCAAGCGGCAGATCTTGGCGACGTCCGTGGGACCGAAGTGTGCTGCCTGACGACCGAATGCAGGGCAGGAAACTCCAGCCCCGACTGGCCGACATTTTCCTTCTTCGTCGACTCCGATGCAAGGTCCAGCAGAAACGCCTCCTGAAGATACATGCCAGGGCCATGCAGCATCCGACAGATGGCCTCTCGAGCCTCCCTCCACGCCAGTTTGGCACTTGCGTATGCCACCATGGACAGGCCCCGTGGTTCCTCGGGGACGGCATGGGTTGAGGGCGGAAGTCTCAGAACATGTTCAAAGCGTTGAGGTGCGACCCGTCTGCCTCGCTGGGCCTTGCTGCTAAGCATCCAAACGCGCAACCGCCTGTGCAAAGTGGAGAGAGTTCAGATTTTGAGCTAGGATGTGCACAGTACACAGAGGTCCTGCTACGGGCTGGAGCCCAAGCTGACCTGATGGAGCTTCTCCTGCAAAGCCTTCCAAGTTGGCCCGGATGGCAACCTTCGCAGACTTTTGGTAATTTGTTGACTGGAAATGCCGATGGAAATCCGAACGACAAACAACGAATCATGCATCTGCACAACGAACATCCACAAGCTGCGGCCTCTCACCCACCAATTTTGCTCCAGTGCAGAATGCGATGACGAGGCTGCCTTCGTCGAAGCGCGCCAGGCCCTCCTGAGCCAGCAAGCCAAGGCAAGACAAGAAAAGGATGCTGTTGTTGATTGATTGTATATTATATTACCATATGCTTCAATCGCAACGTGACTGCAACAGATGCGTCCTGCACGATGTCCAACAGCTCCGAGAAGGAGCCAGCAGCTCTAATCCTCTTCGAACGGCATGTCACAGGAAGCGAATCTGTGCATGTGATAAATGGATGACTGCATGGTCCGGATCGTCGATACTCAGGATTGCCCATCAGTCGTCGCTTGCGCCGACTTTCAAGTCGCGGTTCTCCCGCTTAGGATACTGGACTAGTTTGCACATGTTTCCTTCTCGAATCTTCAGCAAGCCTTGACACCTTCACCCTGAACTCCACATGTGATGCCACAGACAGTAGCCGGAAGTTTCGAAAACCCGGTGCCTGGCGTCTGCAGCCTTGACAACATCACTTCGGCCGCCCACCGAGGCAAAGATCGGTGGTAGGGAGCTGCGCGTCTTGGGGAAAAAGCCTGAGAAGGAGTGCACTGAGTTCCGTCAGCTCTGACACCGGCTTCCACGAGCGGCACTTCGGCAGCGATTGCACAAGTTGCAGGCAGGAAGCTCCCATAGAAGCTGCTCGCATTGTTCGCAAGTGTTCGTGAGGCGCCTGACATGAAGCCCTGGCCCTGAACAAGTCCTGACTATGGATGGAATTAAGGCTCTTTCAGGGGCACGCTGAAACTGCCACAATTGAGGAACATTGGATTCTGGAGAATGTAAGCAAACGAGTGTTTGGAACTTTTGACATTTCAACAAACTCTTGCTTTGGAAGCAAGAGTTTGCAGCCAGCACGAGCTTGCGCTTCTGCCAGAATAATCATTTCGGGGAACTTCATTCGGAAGCAATGTGCATGGAAACTCGTAGTTCCTTCAACGAAGGCCCGGCAAAGGGTGCCTTTGCCCGAAGTGGTTGAGTTCCAGACCCGAAGAGGGCACTAGCCAACGCTATCGCTTTCCCTAATTACTCGACATGGATCTGATCAATGCACGGAACATCTGGGCCTGTTGTGCCGCCGTCGTGGTGAGCGTGCATGATGCATAGTGGTGCATTGCTGCATCCCGCGACCTTGTTTTAGACGCAGTACTGGAGGCCTTCGGTATCACCCATAATGGCCCATAATTACAGGATATGAGAAGCATGTAGCTTTGTGATGTCATTGCGAACGTGTGCAGTAGAGAGCACGGGTTGCAAAGTAGCATCGATTCATTTGCTGCTTGAGCCCGAGTTGTGCTGCGCTTACCGCCCAGCCGACATCACGGTGTCACGAAGGCCTCAACTGACGCCATCACTTGCTCCACTCACTGCCCCCACCAGTTTGACCTGGACCCGGAACGCCCAAGTCCTCAGTCGCTGAGGTGGAGGAGGCGTAGCTGTCCTGTATTATGGAGTCGGGGTCAGCGCTCACCCTCTCACAGTACAGTGTGACGACGCAGAACAACCAAAGCAGCACACGCATGACCGATGCTCCAGCCAACTCGGCGAAACAGTGTCCCCGCAACCAAGTCCTCAGACGACGAGACGCCATATCTGTCCTGCATGGCGCTTTGCAGCCGCAGCTCACCCAACCCAAGACACTGCTGCCTATCTGATGTCTTGCCTGCCGTACGCACGTGAACCAAATAGAAGGACTTAGAACATCCTAGACCCGAAATACTCCAAGTGTCATGTGGTGACTACGCAAGCTACAAACCGAGGAAACAGTGTGGAACCCCGCAACAACCCGAAACGCCCCCAAGTCCTCAGACGACGAGACGCCATATCTGTCCTGCACGCTGCGCTGCAGCCACAGCTCGCAACACCAAGACACGGCAAAAACTGCTGCTAGGCGGATCGTTTCACCGCTCTATGCACATGACCCAACTCTTGTAGCTTACATGTGGCGTGTGCCTGCAGAAAGATCCAAACATCCTATAGACCCGAAATGTTCAAATTGCCTTGTGGTGCTGTGCCATGTATATCCTGTCTACACACCTGCTCATGTCCTGCACCGGTGAGACAGTGCTAGTTGGCACCCCGTAACAACCCGAAATGTCCAAGTCCTCAGACGACGAAACGCCATATCTGTCCTGCATGATGCTTTGCAGCCGCTGCCTAATACTGATGCCTACCTGACCTCTTCGCTGCAGCATGCACGTGACCCAGCTCCAGTTGTTCATGGCATGTCCCTATAGACGAATGTCAGCATCCTAGAACCGAAATGTTCGAAGTGCCAGGCGGTGCGATGCTATGTCCATCCTGTGTACCCATCCGACATGATCCTACAAGCTGGAGAAACAGTGGGGCACACCGCAACAACCCGAAACGCCCCCAAG